AGTAAAAAGAACAAAAGTCGGTATTCATGGATTCATTCATGCAATATATGACTTAAGGCAATATACTTTAACTTTTATCGATAACACATGTCACATCCGTAGCCATAAAAGGGCCAAAGATACAAAATTATTCACATGCAGTATTATGATGCATATGCGTAGGAATGCAACTCATTCACTCACTGACGACATGATTGGTCGATTTCAATCATATTTCTAGAAGTATATACTATACCGGAATAGTCGGCATGATAAAATTATATGGAGGCAGGTTTTATCGATATCATCTACGATGCAACTGCATCGACTATTTTATAAAATGATGATGATTGGTTTTTCGTAGTTAGATAATAGTGTGGCTAGCAAAAGCGTGTTAAAACAGAAAATAATATACGTATCTTTAGTTTTGATTGAATAATTATTCAGATTTACCTATTCAATCTAATCGAGAAAGATTAGGATTTTTTTAAGCGACTACCGATGGCCTTTGACACTGGCAACTCAATAGAAACAAGTGTGTTGCCGCCTCTTGGTGGCCTCTAGAACAACTAAATTTACAAAATTCCCTGGTCTTCGAGGCACGCAACGTCTCGAAACCCAAAACCTAGTTTGGCCTCACTGACTTCGTGAAAAGCGGCCAAAGAATTGCTTAACACCGATTCTGTCTGATCTGTGTGAGGCCATGATATCAATCCGTTCTGAGACGACCCATACGTGCAAAAGACGAAACATGGGCTCTCCAACGGTTAATATACAGTCTACGACAAGTTTTTTTCTTATGGAAGAGGAGGCAAACGAGCAGACGGGTCACCTGAGGGCAAGCTACTACCACCGCCCATAAACGCCTCCAACTCAGGAGTGACAAGCGCGTTGCCGGCCTTTGAGTAACGAGTACCGCCGACGATAACTTGTTCCTCAGATTGGTTGTGCGAGGCTAAAAGTGTCTTGAAAAGTAGGTAAAAAATTAAATTACGCTGAATACAAAAGAAGTTACAAAGGCAACAAGACACGAGGTTATTGCAACTTTGAGCGTACATAAATTAATTCTAATGTTGCCGAACAAATTGCAAACAACAATTAGACTGTATATACTACTAAATGAATACTATAGAATGTACTACTAAATGCTTTCATCATTATCACCATCATTTAATAGTCCTCTGCTGGATGTAGGCCTCTACTTAGAAAGGAGGTTTAAGCCAGTAGGCTTAAACCTCCTTTCTAAGGAGCTTTGGGAGCTTTGGTATAGGGTTTGGGTCAAGTTTTCCTTCTGCAGTGCTATTGTCCTGCGTAGTTTGCTCCCTTCGTCGGCTCTTACGACACCCACGGGATGCATATGGGTAGTGACACTCGGTGTTCTTAATCCGTCGCCACACGGATATCACTAACAAATAATCATACATAATTAGATTCATAGATTATCGCATTTAAACAAATGAATAAGCAAAAACCTATTTAGCTAATTATATCATCATCATCATCATCAACAGCCTTTAATAGTCCACTGCTGGACATAAGCCTCTCCTGAGAAAGGAGGTTTTAAAGTTAATTATATAATAAATAAAATTCTTGTGTCGCGGTGTTTGTTACCAAACTCCTCTGAAACGGCTGGACCGATTTTTATGAAATTTTGTGTGCATATCGGGTAGGTCTGAGAATCGGCCGACATTTATTTTTCATAAATCCCTAAATTATAAGGGACCTACCCCTAAATATTTAATTTTTATTTTATTAATATGACAAAACAAAGTTTGCCGGTTCACCTAGTATAAGTATCGATTTGGATTATTGATATTAGGTAGTAGGTAGATATACTTCACGTCATGAATTCTCAATAAAATTGTAAGCAAACTGCATAGTATAAATAAAGAAAAAATCTACATGAACTGATCTCCATACATTTATGATCTAGAACTCTATAAAAACAACGTTATTTATGGTGCTTTCTTTTAATGGCAATGAAAGTATAAATACAATTTTCACTTTTAATTTTACTAAAAAATCTCGCATTTATTAGGTTGATATCTTCAGAACCTGTATTGAAACCAGCTCGGTGACCTGAGACTGCGAAAATAAATGGCCTGGTTTGATTTCTCATGCTACTATATTAAAACTGACAATTAAAATAATTTGTATTATTTATTTTTATATTCACGCCTTCATATCTATTCGCGCTACCATATTTTGTCGCATTACAGTGATTAAGGGAATATAATATTATATTTGAGGAAGAAGAAATGAGCAGACGGGTCATCTGAACCTAGTGGTAAGTGGCTACCGTCGCCCACAGATACCTACAACTGAAGTCACAAGTGCGTTGCCGATTTCAGCTTTCAACGAAGAACTAAAGGGAGGAGGTTTTGAGGTTCTGGTCACCTCCTTTACTCATCATTTGCAAACTGTTTACTTTTAAAGTTTGTTTGAAGACTATAAAATAAATTATAAGTTTAAAGTAAAAATGGACGACAATTTTTTCACACTAAGTATTTTAAGTTATTTCATTATCTGATTTTGTGTAATAATTTATTTTTGTCATAAGCGTTCAAACAATTTCGAGCAACCGCATAATAAAAATTTATGTTCGTAACCATTAACTTTCTTTCACTCATAAACCATGTGAAATTCACGCTTGTGACCTGAAAGTACCATGCGGGCTCAATACCACAAACAGAAGTAATATTTTTTATTCTTATTGCTTTACTTTAGAATAATAGCGAAGTTTCTAGGGCTTTAAGAGGATTAAAGTTCTTAATATGCAACGGAAGTTTTACTTAGTAATATTTTTTGGTGTTTGACTGCAATAGTTGTCAAAATCTGCAGCAATCAACAGGCCTGTTGGTGTGTTGATTAGTGACCCTGGCTGCTAAATGTGATGAGCACGATTATTTCTGTGTCTGGGTATAATTTATCAATAATATGTATGTATTTAGAAATATATAAGTGTATTTATCAGCAGTCTGGTTACCATAGCACAGGCTCTGTCTAGTTAGGCCCGCCTATCACAGCCTCATGCCGCCCTGAGTGTGGCCGCGGGTGGACGGGATGGGTTTCCCCTCCACCCGCATTAGTTTGGCCAGCCGCGAGGGGGCGGCGTCCGCGTGTGCCGGACGTCGCCTAAAGAGAGGAAAAATATTGAGACGGAGCCCGCACCAGGAGCGGGCTGGCGCTAGGAGGGGTCCGGATGTCACAACAGCTGTTCCCGGATCCCTCCTGTTACAGGCGCAGAGTGGCACACCGTGTGGTTTTAGTCGGTCCGAGTCCGACACACCACCCCGCCGCAAACCCCGGAGGGGTGACGGTCCGAGGGGATTTCCACATGTTAAAAAAAAAAAAAAAAAGGCTCTGTCTAGTTCCGGATCAGACGGCCGTGTGTGAGATGTTTTAAGTTATTATTATTATATTAATGTAAAATTGGATGTGACGTCACTACAAATAGTACTGATAATCCTAACATAATTTAGCTATGATTTTCCTTCATGTCATAAATTAAACAAATTCGACGGCTTCAGATATCTTTGGTTAGCAGTGCTTTAAGCTTAGTTGGACGCGTTATAAAAACTATTTGTCTAAAGACTTTAATCTCACTTCTCTTAATTTGATACTCTATCACGCTAGAATAGATCTAATAGATCTGAGATAGATTACAGTATGTATTAGAACATGGGCTACTTTGAATCTTTACTACAACTCTATAACTTTTTAATCTGCTGCCGACGATAAGTGACACCTTATTTTTTAATACGGGTAGAAGTTTTGGTCAAAATGTTGCCAGTAATAAAAATGTTTACAAAATATTTTCCTAACTTAGGTTCTAAATTTGAAATTACATTTCAAAATTCGAAATAACCTCTTCAACGTCTAAATGCTATGTGGTTTCCGTAAGTTGTACACGAACGCAAGCTGTACAGTCTAATAAAACCAATACAACCGATTCTATAAAATAAATAAATTAAACGGAATGCATTGAAGTCCCGCTACTTCAACATGACCTACCGCGAGCTATGCACGACCAAGATTTATACTTACAGTAACGTAAATTTTGTCTCCCCAATAGGAACGACCTAGAAAGTTAAATATCTGTATTAGAATGTTAAGTTGATTTGTGTACGCTTCAAAACTGAAAAAGTTCTACACCGATTGAGCTAAAACTTTGACACGATATATAACACACTTCAAAGATGGTCTTTACATATTTTTTATAATAATATAATATACCTAACACATCTCACACATGGCCGTCTGATCCCAAACTAGGCAGAGCCTGTTCTATGGCAACCAGACTGCTGATAAATATACTTATATATTTTTAAATACATACATATTATAGATAAATGATCGTGCTCATCACAAAATATTTGTCCTGGGTGGGAATAATATTAACGTAAGTATTTTTATTAATGGTTTTATTTAAATATTAGACCTTTCCTTGAAAAATTATATAGGTCACTGATGGTAGTAACCGCATTAAGACCCGTTGCGTGGTGTAGGAGAAGGTAACAAATATATTTATATCTAGAGATTTTTTTTATGATATAAGGGGGCAAACGAGCAGACGGGTCACCTGATGGAAAGCAACTACCGCCGCCCATGGACACCTACAACTCAAAAGTCACAAGTGCGTTGCTGCCCTTGGAGTCCCTCCCGCTCGAGTCAGCGGGAGGTCTGGTAACCTCACTCACTCAGTGAAACGAAAAACAACGAAAGAATTGCTTAACACCGGTTTTCTGTGAGGCCGTGGTACCACTCCGGTCGAGTTGGCCCATTCGTGTATGTCAAAATTTTAACTACAGATTTGAAACTTACAAAATTAATAACCGAACTACACAGAGTCATAGTCTCGGCTAGAAAGCTAAAAAAAGCCTTACGATATTTACTAAAGCGTGAGAAATTACGAAAAACTTTCTCAAAATATAAACAAATAATTTAAAAATATCAGGTTATATTTTTTACTGGTCCCGTTCTGATTAACAAGTTGCAATGAAGTGTAAAATTAAGTATCGATGGGGTAAGTGTTATCATTAACTTTGCAATATAATCGATATTTGAATCGGATATTACTGCAATTTAGCACATTGCGGCAAATTGCAGCCTTGCCGATTGCCGGCGGTACAACTAGTTAATGGAGTCTGATATACTTCATTTCATTAATCGATTTCTAAATATGTTCCTGTGTTCGTCTTTCGCACAGGTTAATATTCGTACGTTTTTTACTTGAACGCATAACCTGTATTTTAAACATTAACAAATTATTAATAAAATATTATCATCATCATCATCAACAGCCTTTAATAGTCCACTGCTGGACATAAGCCTCTCCTTAGAAAGGAGGTTTTGGCCTACTATGTATACTATACAATATAATATACTATATACTATATATATATCGTATATAACATATTTATACTGTTATATGTTATGTTATGTTATGTTATATAACTATGTTATATAACATATATATACTGTTATATAATATACTATATAATATATATACTATATACTATTAATAAAATATATCTGTATGTAATACTATCATATTTCATTCTCATTATTAAGACGAATCTAATGATACATGAAAAACATAATAATAAACATGGAAGTCATGGCTGCACGGATGGCTTGATGGTTTAATCGGTCGCCACGCCGCTTCCTACTACGTGAGTGTTGTGGGTTCGCTCCCCACAAGGGACACTACTTTGTGTGATCCACAAATTGTTGTTCTGAGTCTGGATGTTCCATGTATGTTTGTAAAGTCCCCCGCGACATAGTCTATATGTACCAAACGCGGGAGTTGTCTTTAAAAAAAATTATAAAAACAAGAATGGGTTTGAAACCCAACCAGGGCAAAGAATGTGTGATGAGCATGTTTGTTTTCCTGTCTGTTTACCATACAGCAGAAGCTCTACCTAACTTGGAATTGACGACCGTGTGTGGGATTTTTTCGAGATGAAGAAAACCCCAAGTTGGTGAGCTATTAAACTGATAAGACTGATTTCCTCTCATATTCCTGGTATATATATATATATATATATATATATATATATATATATATATATATATATATATATATCTCGATGGCAAAAAGTGCCTTTATAGTGTGTAATTTTTACCAGATAAACCCTGCAATACCAATGGTATATCGATTAATTCAATAGAGTATGTAACGTGTGAAACTTTAGAATGTAAGGTACCTAATGCATTATTCAATCGATTATAAATCGATTCTGGAATAACGATTTATTATACGTGTTTGGAATATTAGTCATAAGTAATATAGTTTGTCATACATTATAATTTGTCAAATGCTATTTATTCTCAACAAAGTGCGAAGAAATATTAATATCTAAGTTTAGATGAAAACCAAAAATTGAAACATTATAATATGCGTCGGTCATATCCTGTTGGAATATATAGTATTTTTGAAGTGAAAACTTGTTTAAGCGCGTAGGACATTTTTGGACAACAACCAAAAGAATATCTTCTTTGAGATAGGAAAACCTATTGAACTCGCGACACTGTTACCGTTACCGACACCTCTGTATATAAGTATCTACATATATTGGCCCCGATTACACGAGAGTTGAGTTTGGGTTGAAATACATTGATAATATAAACATATATTGTGTATATACGTACAACATAAATATATATTCAAGTCGGCAGTATTCGAATAAAAAAAAAACTAAAATACATTCTGTTATAATCAAAAAAAAAAATTCAAGTTTTCAGTTCTGTCGGCACTCCCGGAGTGCATCTGTTTTTTTTATGGAAGAGGGAGCAAACTAGGTACAGGTTACCTGATGGAAATCGACTACCTCCGCCCATTAACACCTACAACTTAGAAGTCACATGTGCGTTACCGGCCTTTGAGAAAGGAGTACCCTTTTTTCTTTAAGGTTTGAAGCTCCTTCGTTTGAGTTTTGAAACAAAATTTTGAAGCTTGTAATCTTTTTCGTCTTCTTTTTCTTCTTGTGTCAAACACTAATGAGCTGGCTCGACTGGAGTAATACCACTACCTAACAGAAAACCACTGTTGAATAATTATTTTTTTCGTTTTCACCGGGTTGCTTTTCGATGTCATGTAATGCGAAAGTTTAACAGTTCTCGTCTCCGATATTGCAATCAAAGCCTCGTGCCACATCAAGCACTGTAATCCCAAATAATAATACCCAACTTGGCACCGAACCCGCTTTGCTATCGGGGACAGTGATTTGCCTCGCACAAGTCCCGTACACTTTATTGCATGTGCAGTTATATTGTCGTCTTCATATTATTTTATCATCTTTCTTATTCTTAGTATTTGCACTATTATCTTGGGGTTATTTAAATTGTTAAATGAACTTTTTGCCGTTTGCTACATCTGAGTGATTTTTTTGGAGTCTACTCCCATCTTTTGATGTACACCATTCGATGATTATATAAAATTTAGTTGAGCCCAACCTCCACCAGGGCAACCACCACCGCCTTTTGTGTCCACTCCCCTCCAGGGAGATGGATACAAAAGGCGTCAACGCACTTGTATCTGGCAAGTTGCAGGTGTGTATGGACGGCGGTAGTCACTTACCATAGCTGACCCATCTACTACTTTGCCTACCTATACCATAAAAAGTGAAGCCTTAGTCTGAGCCATCCGCGTTGATATCATGAGCCAGAGTGAAATGATAAACTGCCCATTCAAGTCCAAATCTGATTTTAACGATTTTGAATCAAACAGAAATGTCATTATTACAAAGATTACTCAGGTATTAAAGTGTATAACCACAAAATATAACGGCTTCATGTAACTCTATCTGCAAATGTTGACGGTTAACAACTCTGGGCGATATTATCGAAGAACCAGTTCGTGTTTGAGCTAAAAATCTCAATCGTAAACGTACTGTTACTGTAACCACTCTGGGCGGCAGGCTACTAGTTAATGACTTTATCGCGACACAGGCTATTTATTTAATATTTGATACTATATCAATAGCCAACTTAAATCGCTTTAAATTTCAGGAAAATACATGGTCACAGAAACGTAAAAGACTATACAAGTCAACTTAATCGTTCCCATACATTTCAATAACTTAAAGTCTTCAATGCTTTTATTACCCACGCCATCTTTCGGGTATATGTAGTACTAAGATATTCATCAACATCATCAACAGCCTATACTAGTCCACTGCTGGACATAGGCCTCTCCTTAGAAAGGAGGTTTTGGCCTACTATACCACGCTGGCCAGACGGTTTGGTATAGGGTTTGTTTCAAGTGTTCCTTCTCTTTGCAGTGCTATTGTCCTGTGCAGTTTGCTCCCTTATTTAGTTCTTATGACGGATGGAATGGTATGGTTTACTAACCTGTTTTATCTACTTGTAAAGCTATCCTCTTAATAACGGGAGGAGGACTAAGTAGTGTAAACAAAGAAAGCTAGAATAATTAAACAAAATTTGCTTTATCTTACCTAACTCCTAATTTTTCCACGAGTTTTCTTATGCCTATACACTTCACGAGGCAACATCACGCCGGGCGCGCGAGTTTCCTGAGACATCGAACAAGTATAAAATGTAGTCTAACGGGCATTCTAATCGTATTACGAATATGAGGAAATGATGTATTGTATGCACCATATTTGTCATCCGTTCCAGTTAACAGTTTAAGCATATTCACACTTCCTATGGCACAAATACCTAAAATTTTACATAACGATTCTCGATTTCCTCGGAGATCGTTATGCGATTATTGCATAATTTCTAAATTTAATCGATTCGAGCGTGTTATTTTTTAGTATTCGAAAGGAAATCGTTAATGGAAGACTCCAGCTGTTCGACGTGATAATTTTTTTAAATATTAATATCGTAATTTATATTAGAATGTGTAATGAAAATATCTGATTAGTTTATTGATTTATGACTTAAAACAGTTTTCTTTTCGAAGCAGATTAATTACATGTGAGATTAGAATATGTTAAAAACTTGTATTGTAATTTATTATTAAATGAAATTAATATTTTATTGAAGCACTTGAAAGTGTAAGTATGTGGACCATGCTCCTCTATAAAAGTCCGGCTTATAACGTCTGTGTTATATTTCGTGAATTTGAAATTGGAACTAGAAAGATTCGTTATTTTTTATTTCATTAATTTGGTAGCAATTACTGAACTACGCAGGACAACAACACTGAAAAGAAAAGGAGAGTAACAAACCTTATACCAACCCGTCTGGCCAGGATGGTATAGTAGGCGAAAACCTGCTTTGTAAGAAGAAGCCTATGTCCAGCAGAGGACTATTAAAGGCTGTTGATTTTATGATGTGTGTCATAACTTTGACCTGCTCGAAGTATTGCTTACATTCGCCAATCCCTTCCCTCTTATCCTTTTTCTAAAATTGCCATCTCTTCTTTTTACGTTTCCTCTCAATCTACTCTTCATTATCCTTTACTAGCTTTTGCCGCCGTAAATATCGGTTATTGCGGTAAAAAATAGCCTATATCCTTCCTCAAGAATCAAGAAATCTCCATGACAAATGTTATTACAATCGGTTTAGCAGTTTAGCCATGAAAGCTTAAAAGACAGTCAGGGGTACATTCGCATTTATAAAATTAGGAAAGATAATCCTTTAAGTGCCCGGTTGTAAGCAAATGTATGTAATATAAGGTATGTATAAATACCTCAATGCTGTAAGCTACTTTAACTTTCTAACAGAATCTGACGATTCCAATCCAATAATAATCTCAAAATTTATGGGATAAAATACCCTCGACATTTCCCTCAATCCCACTCATATTAGTCGAAGCCGCACTACTATCATTCAAAATTATATCCATTTATAAGAACCAGTTTCAAAGATACCTAATCACTAATATTTAGTATCTGTAGAGAGACCTACGATCGGTTATCGTGACAGTCATTAGAAATCTCATTTTCTGCGGGCGATTTCAATAATACGATCGCGGACCGTGTTTTACTAAGAAAGTAGGATAAACTGTATTGGTTCTACATTTTCATGTCGATTTTCTTGGTTTAGACATTTATACATAAGTACATAGTTACTGTCCGTGTGGTGACGGATTAAGAATACAGAGTGTCATCACCCCTATTCATCCCGTGGGTGTCGTAAGAGCCGACTAAGAGAAAAAATTAAGCAGAACAACAGCACTGCAGAGAGAAGGATAACTTGACACAAACCCTATACCAACTCGTCTGGCTTGCGTGGTATAGTAGGCCAAAACCTCCTTTCTAAGGAGAGGCTTATGTCCAGCAGTGGACTATTAAAGGCTACTTGTTACGTCTGTGTCCTCAAAGGACAAATATAACTTATTAGTAATTGTCGGAGGCTTCGCTCGCTTGATTATGTCTTATTTCGTGGTTCTAACTTTAAAAATAAAGAACTGCCATACAACCGTTCATGCCTTGTTTAACCTCCTCCTAATTAAAAAAATTACTACTTTTTACCGCGATAACTAACATACACGCGGGCGGAGTCGCAGAAAAAAGCTAGTTATAGATAAATTAAACCTGGACACAGAACAAATTTATTAATCTTGCTCATCACACAAACATTTGTCCTGGGTAAGGATCGATCCCGTGACCTCCTGATTAGAAGTCAGGTTTACCAACTACTAGACCAACAGATCAGTCAAGTATCTGTATTTAATACTAGCTGGTACCGGCGACTTTGTTTACGTTGAATTTAAAAAGCGCTGCTTAGCGATATGCGACTGCGCGAAAGCGAGGCCTCATGCCTCGGATTCGATAACCGGACCGAACAACTTTTTGTGGGGGTTTTCTGAACGTAAAACGTTACCCCTCATTTAAACAGTTACCTGATAGTAAAATATTATCAAAATTCGTCCAGCCGTTTAGAAGATTACTCGGAACAAACAAACAGACCTAAAGACAAAAGATATTTAAACTAGCTTTTAGACATAGGGTTTTTTATATTAGAGGGGGCAGGCGAGCAGACGGGTCACCTGATTGAAAGTGACCATCGCCCCCCATGAACGTCTGCAACTCAGGAGTCACAAACGCGTTGCCGGACTTTTAGGAAGGAGTACGCTCTTTTCTTGAAGGTTTAAAGGTCGTATCGGTCCGAAAATATCGAAATATCGGAGATGTTTGGGCTATCGACGACTCGAGTCGTTCTTCGTTGAATGCGGTCCAGAGGGAGAAGCTGGTACTGAACTACCCCTGCATAGAGATGAGAACAGTATTCCATATGCGGCTGGATTTGCGCCTTATAGAGCTGAAGGCGAGGGCCTGAGTGAAATACAGCCTCGATCTGTCCAGCACACCGAGCTTCTCCGAGGCCAATTTGACCTTACCCTCTAAGTGACCCCTAAACTTGACTTCGCTTGATATGTCTAGGCATGTCTAGGGATTTCGATACTGGCTGAGGCAGTTAGGGAGGTGCTCTCAACGTCTCGTGGTATCGTGCAAATAACCTTGTGAACATGACAAAGATTATTATTTTGATATTACAAACAGACACTTCAATTTTATTTATTTGTATAGATGTATAGATGGTTTTTTTCTTTGTTTCAGTGAACTCACATTGCTGGAGGGCATGGCGAACACCGGCGGCTGGAGTGAGGAGCCGGTCTCTAAGGTAACCCTCAGAACTGTATACTATACAAACATATGTGTTTCTATGTATAATAAGTATGTATTTACAAAAAAAAAGTATATATGTATTTATATCAGTTGTCTAGTACCCATAGTACAAGCTCTGCTTAGTTTGGGACTAGATGGCGTTGTATGAATGTGGTACAATGTTATTATATTACTATTATTATTATTATATATCACCCAGGAATCATAGCCAGTGGTCTTTTAATATTCGCAAAGAGACTTTCAGTTATCTTTATTAACTGGTACATGATATATTGCAGTTCAATTGCCTATGAAAAACTAACTTTTACCTACAGATGATATTCATATTGGTTGTGGGCTCCAAATTCCGCATTTAGACTCGAGAGTGGTCTTTTATGCGTCTAGAAGAGGTTGGCTAGGTGAGCCAACCAAGCTCCTTCCAGAAGCACAGAAGCCTCCTGGGGCGTTCACAGGCTTCTAGGAGCGATTTTGTACCAGCTATGGTACTTCAATTATAGCCAGTGGTATTTTAATATTCACAAAGAGACTTGATACTTGCACATTATAATTTGCAGTTTAATTACCTATCCTAGCTTTTACCTACAGATGATCTTAATGCATAAAGTGTGATGTTTGTGTGACCTTTATATTTAAATATAAAGGTCCTCCTAAGTCTATACAAACATAATTACGTGTCATCTAGCAGTTGGTCAATTAAAATTACGCCACACAAAAGAAAATTATTTATTTATTTATTTATACATCTTTATTGTATACCGTTTCAGTATATATTGTACAGACATAGGTGGACGTTTAAATTTCGGTATTACAAAAGGCGGTCTTACCGCTCACGGCGATCTCTTACAGACAACCTTTACACAGATATTGTTTAATCTGATTTAGGATAGTCTATGGTGTACTTTATAACACTTTAGATATATATATATATAACTAAACATCCTAAATACGCTTACAATATAGATACTACTACCACATATAAATACTTATAAATAATAAATACATACAAAGGTTATATCCCTTCAACAGCCCTTGAGATGTCAAGTAGTAATTTGTGACTTGCTTTTTGAATAATTGCAACGATTTGACTTAAATTATAATAAACATTTAGATAAAAAAATAATTAAACCAGTCATCTACGTTATGAATATATTAAATATTTATAATTAGCTCGTACCTGCGACTTCATTCGCGTGTAATTTGTAAAGCCGTGCTACACCACTAAGGCAGCCTTAGTGGTGTAGCACGGTACACGACTGCAGTACACGAGGCTTCGGGTCAGTTCCCGGCCTGAGCTAAATTTTATAAGGTTTTTCTGAGAGGAAAAATAGCCTAAGTTACTCCTCTAGACAGTTTTCTGGTAGTAAAATATTATCAAAATCGGTCAAGCCGTTTTGAAGATTATCCGGAACAAATAGGCGGACAAACAGACAAAAAAAAATTAAACTGGTTTTTTAGGCATTTAGGTATCGTGCAAATAACCGTGTGAGCATGAAAAAATCTATTATGTAGACATTACAAACAGGCACTTCAATTTCATTTATTTGTATAGTTGTATTAGTGACGTGCCGGACATGACAAGGGAAAAAAGTTTAGTATATGTGTTTGAATTCGAAACTTTTTAACGGATCTTGAATAGATAGTTTACATTATTCTAAAATTATTTTGCTGAAATTTAAATATTTAACATCGTAGTTACTAATATTATTTTAATTTAGATGGTACTATTTGACTTTTATCTTCATAACGAGATTCCACTCAAAATCTTTGTGATATGTGATGTGATGATATAAAAACAAAAAATCACGCGCAGAGCAAGTCGAAATATATCGTGTAAAATTCTCAACCTCAATTATCCTTTCAAGGTCACGCGTGTGTACATCAACTCATCAGCTGAGAAAAAAAACTTGAGGTCAATATCATACCTTATTCACAGCATGTACAGTTTAAACGCTTTGAAGAAATAGTGACCCAATATTGAAAAATAGTTACGCACGCTAAGAAATTACTACTATGTATCTCTATCTGTTAGTTATTTTTATGAGCTAAAAGCAAATTTTCTATCCTACCATATGCGAAGACGTAATTCACACAGGCAGTATTTACAACTTTTCTATTGCGTATTATCCATAGCAAAGAATAATAAATCCGAGAGTAATATTGGCTTTGAAATCAACCTCATCGAAATACGAAGAATTTACATCACCCCATAACATAACACACACGCATACACGCATATCCATTCACTCAAACTCACATACATATGTTCACAAACTCGCACACATGCACAAACTCGAAAAATTACAGAAAATGGATTTCATTTTGTTTAAACATAAACAAAAAATGAATAAAATTCTTAGCATTCAGTTTGTTCCTTTTTATTCCTGCTCGATTAACTGAGTCGTCGGATTTGCGATCGAACATATAATCGATCGAATATAAGCGATCGAATATACGCGATCGAATATAAGCGATCGAACATACAAATATCCCTCAGGAAAATGTGACTAAAAGTGGACTATTAAGGCTGTTGATGATGAGCCACAGTAAGTTCGAACCTGGTTCTAAAACAAGCATTCAGCTTAATTGAAATCCATGTATCCATTAATCTTATTCAGATTACGTATTTTACACGTAAATAGCAAAGAGATAATTAGTCATCCACTTTCTTTCATACATTCATAAGTCTCTCTTCCATCATTTACCATCTCGAAATCTTCAGACAATTGGTGTTCAGTTCACAAATAATTAATTTTATTAGACACAATTCTAGTTGCGTGTCGAAATTAACAAAAACTCTTAGAAAACGAGATCGTGAGAATCGCTGGTGATAAATTGCTTGTCGGGTAAGGTAACTACACCAGTTTATGTCCGAGTTTATTGTTCAGAAACTTCATCTTTTTGCATTTACTATGGGAATATGAACGTTTAACTAACGAATATGTTTTTTTATGTTTTTTTTTTTCACTGGGCTATCGGCTTAATTGGTGAGGGTAAGGCTCTCATAATTACTATTATGTGAGGTTATATTTCATTTAATCATGCTTTAGATTTAGGATAAGTTAACACCGAGAGTTGTTTTTAATCAAATTATTGACTACATTTACTTATTTTAGACTAGCTTTTGAACGCGGCTCCGCCCTCCTCCTTCCTTAAGAATCAAACTATCTCAATACCAAATTCATCTACAAAGGTTTAACGGTTTTTGATTCCCCATACAAACTCCCACCCCCCTTTTCACCGCCGAAGCATGATTTCTGGGGTAAAAACTATCCTATGTCCTATCCCAGAACTCAAACTATCTTTATACCAAATTTTATCTAAGTCGGTTCAGCGGTTTAAGCGTGAAGAGGTAACAGACAGACAGACAGACACTTTCGCATTTCAATACAATTAAAACTTTAGAAGCAATATTGTTCTTTATAAATATAATCACAATCACATCATCATTACATCACCAATCTGTAATAGTCCACTGCTGAACATAGGCCTCTCTTTAGAAAGGAGGTTTTGGCCTACTATACCACGCTGGCTAGACGGGTTGTTATGGGGTTTGTTTCAAGTTTTCCTTCTCTTTAAAGTGCTGTTGTCTTAGTTAGTTTGCTCCCTTATAATCAGAATGCAGTTTTGAAACATTTTTTCTGTTTGTTTATCGGTATTAATTATTTATATTTGCCATCAACAACAACAAACTCGTCTCCACACATGTACTGAATTGCTAGCTGCTGATACGAGTATACATGAATTAGTTTACAAGAATATTGTTTGATTAAGTCTTGGCTAGGCTTAAATTTAATTTTGCCTGCGATACATTAAATTTCTTTCTGAAAGAAAGATAAAAGAAAAATAACCAGCTGATACCCGTGACTTGGTTTGAAAAGCTCTGCCATGAGGCCTCGGGTTGATTCCCCGGACTGGGTAAAATTGCATAGGGTTTTTCTGATAGGATAAATAGCCTAAGTTACTCCTCATATAGACAGCTACCTGATAGTAAAAAAAATACCCGGAACAAACAGACAGACAAAAAAATATTTAAACTGGTTTTTAGGCAAAGGTTTCGTACAAATAACATTGTGAGCATGAATTTTATTCATTATATTCATCATTCATTCATCATTCATTTTTTTAATAGAAAAAGGCATAGAGACATGGAAAGAGGCACTTTAATTTTATTTATTTGTATAGATGTATATACTATTTCTGTTATTTGATTTAACAAGGCAAGTTCTGGGTGTACTTTTTATCTATAAAATGTGTGTTTTTGAAATATTTAAGTATGTCTATCAGCAGTCTGGTAACCATAGGCTCTGCCTTGGGATCAGACATCCGTGTGTCAGATGTTTGAATTTTTTTTTTTTTTTAAGTTGGGTGAGTGAGTGAGTGCCTGTGAGATCATTAGATGGCGCTGTAGTAGTGTGTTTTTGTTTTCATTGTATTTGAAAGTCGCCACATCACGCACATCATACAACATTTGTCCCGGTTGGGAATCGAACCTACGACCTCTGGCTTAGCAGTCAGTATCGCTAACCACTAGACCAATAGGCCAGTCCCAGACCTACAGGACAGAGGAACTAAGCGTAAATATAGGCGTATTGATAAATGTGCATTCAATAATGGCTCATCTGAAATTATTAGTAATATTTTTTTCATGTATAGGTGGTAAACAAGCATACAGGTCACCTCATGGTAAGTGACAACTCCCGCTCATGGACCCCTACATATTGCAGTACTTTGAGTCCCCTATCTTTCCAGAATCAGGGGGAAGGGGGTTTGGCGAAAGAGTTCCTTAACACCGTTTTCTTTGAAGCCATAGTATTACCCCGGCCGAGAAGTGTCCATTTGTGCTGAATAATGGATTGAAAAATAGAAAGATAGAAGATTGTCCATATGGTCACGAATTAAGAATACAGAGTGCCACCACCCCTATAATATCCTTCAGGAAAAACATGGAAGTTTTATTTATTTATTTATTACTATCCACACTAACTACTATCTATA